TGGGCCTCAGGATGACTGGTCAGGCGCCAAACATGTCGCAGGTCTGGTCGGAAAGAGGGCCGTTGTGCCTGTTCAACCAGGAGTGAATTCTAATTGGTCCTGGAACCTCCTCCCGGTTTACATGTCATGACCAGCTTGCCCTCTAGCATTCAAAATCATGTACCATCATTGCGGAAAACATATTTGTTTGCCGTACGTCGCTCTGGTCTCACAGCAAGTGCCTTTAGCTTGGACACGTATGTGTATACACCTAGAACCTGATTGGCCCCTGTTTGTGAGCTAAAACTATAACATGGTCTTTTCCCATCACAACAATGGTCCAATGGGGTCTAGGTGTGTATATATATATATAAACATATTAATAAATATAGTTATAAGGCCTTGCTGGCACCCCTTTTTCAGTTCGCTCTGCAGCAAGCTAGTCAATAAAGATGAAAACTTAAACAAGAAAACAATACATCAACCACCGGAAAAGACTACCCCCCCTTCTTTGGTCAACAACACAAAGAAGGGGACGTTCCCGGGTAGTCGTTCCCCCCCCAACCAGGTGGGCCAGACCCCAAACCCTGGCCAGGTCCTGAGGAACCCCTTCAGACCTCATTTCTTTTTATGCTCTTCTAGAGCTAGCAGGTCTTGTAAAAGCTTTCCTTCCACGTCCCCCAAGACGACGAGTTTCGGTCGTCGGCCTGCTGCTATGCAGCGGCTCAAGTGTTGCAAAAGAACGGGGAGTGGAGTTGGTCAAAAAGGTGCGATACGGAGCTAAGTGTCGTTCAAGAGGTCCCAATTGCATTTCAGCTAACACGGCTCTAGACTCATTGAGGTACAGTAGTACAGGCGTGCTGTTTTCTGAGCCTGCCACCTACCTAGTAGCATGACACGATCAAGGTTACCATGTTGAGCAAACCACCACGTGGCCCCTCCTCTCCGGACAGAGGAAGGGCGGAGGTCCAGGCTTTCCAAATGAAGCGCTTCCACGCAAGTCTTGAAAAGTTTCCTCCACCGCGCTGGGAGGGGCAAAGTTTGCGGTGGCTGCTTGCCAGCGTGTACCAATGCTGGAGATAACGAAAGGCAGTGTCATGTCCTACAGTCACACTTTCCTGGACGCCGGCTCGTTTGCCGGCTTGGTGAGTCCCAAACTAACTACACACACTCTCAGCTTGGTGGAAATTTCCACGCGGTTCCGAGTGACATCAAGTAATTCTCCGGTTCTTCAAATTCCATAGAAACAAAGTAGCAGGCTGGTGGCGAACGAGTAAAGCTCATGGTACAAACTCCATCCAACCATGGCATGAAGCACTGACTCCGGTATTGGTGGCGCCCGATTGGGGAGTTCATGGGTCACCCAAGTCTTGACCAGCCGCCATGCTCCAGGGAGTTGCCCCCGAATTTTTGTATCAAAGTCTTGCAGTGATGCCAGGGTATCGGCGGCCAAGCCTCGCCCTTCCCCGGTGATCCATAAATGTTCAATGTACTCACTAGTAGATCCAACCGTTCGCGCCGGGCAGGTAGATCAAGATTCTCTTCTTTGAGGAAAGTCAAAAAACGATCCAAAGCCTTCTGGTACCGAGCTCTATAGTTCAGGGTTGAAGTATCCCCGCCTTCTCAGGGTCTCTGGCGATCTCGTCGTCCTTGCTGACTTCGTCGCACTCCTCCTCTTCTTCCTCGCGGGCCTCTTCTTCGGCCTCAGGCTCGGTCCCAACTGATTCTGCCTCTTCCTCTGCTGCTGATCGCCCCGTCGGGCTTTCCTCTCTCTCCTCCTGCTCCGACTCCTTGTACGATCCCTTTCTTCGCGTCGGCGTCGACTGTGTTGACGTGGCTTATAAGCTCTCGCTGGTGCTGCAGCAGGGTGTCGCTCCCCAGGGTGTTCCCCCGATTCGTATGCAGTCTTCACTCGAGTCTTTCCCTCCTTCTCCTGGACGATGATGTAACCTTTCCAATCGACCAGTCCAGCCGTACGGTCCGCTTCGAAGGCTTCGCCGTCGGACTCAAGCGTTGTAACAACCTTGGCCAGATAAGAACAAAGTTCCCCAGCCTTCGAACTTGGATACCTGGTGAAGACGACTCGCTCGGCGCGGACCACCAGATAGCAACAATCGCAGAATCCGGACGAACCAACCGGGAGTTCGAGTCGGGAGTGGCACCCTCTGCAGGTCATATAGAGCCAAACACTACGGAACGGAAAAGAGGGTGTGAGCAACTCTTTATCCCCGGGGGCGGGGCACCATATAAATATACAGTATAGGTATAACTCCACCATGTTCCAAGGGTTTCCAGTATATGGGCTCACTCCACCGCGTCGGTTTCCCCATGACTCCAAAATGGAGCGAGTCGGAGTCGGAGTCGGTCTGTCCTTTTCATGTGATACCCGTGAGGTGTTCTTGTCTGTAAATAAGAATAACACACATGCGTGTATATATATAGTATATATACTTAGAACCTCATTAGGCAAAAATGTCCGCCCAACTTCACTATTAGGCAGAAAATTAGGCCCGTTTTCACAAAGAACGCCTAAGCTGCAGCCTCGAGGATCAAAACGCCGAGGCACAATCACTTGCATTCTTAATTACATGCAGGAGGCAAATCCATATATAATCTGAATGAACAAGCTTTTTGAGAAGGCAACCTGACGCTAGTGCCCAGTCTGAAGTAAAGTTTTTGAAACTCATGTCACTTACTCCCCCCCAAAAAGGCTACCATTCCTTTGTCCAGCCAACTGCTGATTGTTGTGAGGGGGGGAACGGGTAGGAACGCCTAAATAACGGGCAAGAATGCCTAAGTAACGTGCAAGAACGCCTGAGTGCTGGGAAGAATGCCTACCCCAAAACAGACTAAAAAGCAAACAAAGCATATAGAAACACTATACGCATTCAGAAGTGAAACATCAAGTGATAAACAAGTGTCCTGTATTCCTGTATATGTTCCTGGAGCCAGTGGTGGTGGGTAGATCCTTATCTATTTGAGCATTGCAATTGCCTACCAAAAGGATAAGAACGCCTAGTGGAGCCAAGAACGCCTAAGCGCGGACAAAGGCGCCTTTACCCGGCAGAAATGTCTGCCCCAGAAGAGGTTCGATGTATCCCTGACACTCCATGTATGCCATATATGCCTACATTGACCCCCCAAACTACCCCAATGTAGGCATATATGGCATACATGGAGTGTCTGGGTATATTGGAAACGTCAGACAATTCGTGCCGAGATGTGGGGAATTGGTCAAAACTGCCCTGGGCCCTGGTCTGGTTGCGAACGACCGTCACGTCGGTAGGTCAACCAGTCGGTCTCGTGCCATGATCCACGAACATGTGTGCGTCTGTGTGTGGTGAACTAGCACGATTTGTTCACAAAGGCGAACAAATCTTCACAAGAAGCATCTATCCTCAGATCTTCCAACATTTCAAAGGCGAACACTGTTGATGCCCTGCGGAAATACCCTGCGAGAAATTTTGCCGCCCACCGGCCGTGCTGCCCGTCCGGGACCCCAGCACCATCCAGCTGCCAGAGTGCCGTTGACGATCTCTCGTGGTGACATCCTGGGCAGAAAAATCAACTGGATTTCTCTGACGGACCCGCCTGGCGGATCCTGGCGGTGGGTGTTTGGGTGAATTTTTGTTGATGCTTGTCCACCGAGCCCGGTCGGGAGAGAAGGTCTCCGAATTCTTGGGGTTATAGGCTCATGAAGAGTCGCCAAAGCAT